TTATAAAGTGCCTTTGACACTAGTAATGATCTATATAGAATGTTAGTAATCCTTGTTTTTTCTTTATATCCATTGTTTTTCCATGGCTACAACATATCTCTCCAACTTTCTAGGCCTGGAGAATTGTAAACATCCCACTGAACACTATTACAAATGCGTAATTATGTAATAACATTTTTTCCAAAGGATATATTTAAATGACTCCAATCCCTCACGTTTCACTTCCTTATCCCTGGTCATCAACATTGGTTTCTTGATAGGTTCCTGAGATAACAAAAAATAGCATACAATAAATGAATCTAACGTATCTACCGTACTATTTTAAATTTATAGTATTATGAATATTTTACTTTATTTATTTGTTATTTATTTATTCATTTCATATTTAAATTTGTATATATATCTGTTATTTTAAATATATATGTATATGTGTATGTGTGTGTGTATGCTTGTGTGTATGTGGGGATGTGTTGTGTGTGTGTACATATGCATATGTACGTATATGTATATGTATATACATACATACATACATACACACATATATATATATATATATATATATACATATATATATATATATATATACATATGTATGTATATGTGTGTGTGTATGTGTTTATATATATTATTTTGTTATCAGTATTATTATTATTATTGCTGTTATTATTGTTATTATTATTATTATTATTATTTATTTATTATATTATTATTTATTATTTATTATTGGTTATTATGTCTTAAAGTTTGTTTACAAACTTATTTTGACCTCCTACTGCACACTTCTTTTTCTTCTTTTTTTTAAATGTAATTTCAATTGAAATATTTATCGTTAATTAATTTATATTTTATGTGTGTGTGGTAAAAAACAATAAAACAAACAAGAGTACCATGGTGACAACCAATTCTGTGACCACCTTCCTTTTTAGTGCAGGTGACAACCAATTCTGTTACCATCCTCCTAAGCGTGCAGGTGACAGCCCACACTGCATTAATTATACTGCAGAGGCGACATTATCTACTGAACACCAATAATATCAACATAATCAATAAAGCTAATTCATGGAAATTGCAAATGCAAATAAAGACAAGGCAACTTACTTTTGTCCATGACAGCATGTGTGCTAATGAAACAGGCTTTCTAAAGATGCCTTTCTTGTGTTTGTTAAGATTTTCAACTGCATATTTCTCAAGTTCTGTTTCGGAAGCTGTTGGTTTCTTAGCTATCACCAGTGAGGCACTGGTTTGCATGTTTGATGGAATTGTGCCATGCTTCTGCTACAAGAAAAATAACAACAAATGTTAAATTAAATTTAAATCAACTTTTAAAAATTAAAATTCAGTCTTGAAATTATCAAGATGCATAAATCTACCTAACGAGCCAATAAGAGGGGTAGCATTTTGTTTGGTAAAGCTTACCTGGTAATACATATTTGAAGCAAGTGGGGTAGTATTTCCATTGGTAAGACTTACCTTGGAATTCATTAGCAATGGTAACAGACATAACATGGATACAAGGTTCAATGGTACAAAGGTCCATAAACAAGGTAATAGATCAGATGTTCATAATACAGAATAATAATAATGTAAACAACTACATTATCAATACACAA